CCTCTGCTTTTGTTGTGCTTTTTCTCTGTGTGTGTTGCTTTCTGTATGCTTGTTTGTGAATGAATAAGGTGGATATAATGCTACAGTCTAGAGAAGGTTGTTATATCACATTGGTAGAATTGAATGAGGAAAGAGAGGAACTTTTATGGGCATATGTGTAGAGGGAGGAAGGCTACTGCTAAGCTGGAAATCATTTTTTTTCCTTTTTTTTTTCTTCAAATAATGAGTTAATGGTGAAAATCGAAATATCTGGAAAGGATCCACCATGCAAATTGGCAATATTTTTTCTTTATAAAATCAAGGTGGGCTGGCAAGGTTAGGGGCAGAAGTGTAATTTGGTATTCTGAAATAGTGTGTTTATTCAGTTTTGCCGGGTATGATTTTGGATACCGGTGAATTCTGGTTTATGTTCAAAATACACAAAATGATGTTACATGAAATCGAATGATACATTTTAAGACGAACTAGAAAAATTGTACCATATTCAGTTTAGCCCGGTTTGTTCTGTAGGGTTTGTATTTCGTTCGTTAAAATAAGTAAATTACGATATAGAATATGTTATGTTTTTTCTTGCCGAGATAGAGATTGCCAGCCCCTACACACTCTATAATGTGACTTCTTGATCAGTTGATCTTAGCATCTCAAAATTCAAAAAACCAATCTACCTTTAAATTTTCACATGCTCAATTTCATTTGTTTTAGCCTATAGTACCTCTAAAGATCACCCAACTCTCAAATCAACATGCAATTGCTTCTATCACGATTATAGTATCTCAAATACCCTTTTGGAAAATAATTAATATGTCGGGACCGTTTACAAGTGGGAATGGCTGGATGGGGTAGAAGGCTTTTATTTGTTCATTTAATGNTTTTTTAAAAAAAAAAAAAAATTAATATAAGTAGAAATGAATAATAATATAAAGAAAGTATTGGACGAATTCATAATTATTTTGAAACTAGGCTCATTCTCGTGGAAAAATGTTTTATAGTTTGATTGAGCTCTTTAGAGAGGCTATGTTATGCCATATCAAATTGGTAATAATTTTCAGTCCTACTTCCATTTACTACTGTTCAATTTTTGAACTAGGCTCGTTCTCCGTGGAAAAATGTTTTACAAAGCAAAAATCCTATGTAAAATTAATGGGACTACTACAAAACTTTAATCTGAGTAGTATTTTAGAACCTTTGCTAGTGAACTGAATTTGATTTATTCAAATTCCTTTGAATGCATGTAATAACATTAGGACAATTTCCCGACTATGCAAATGAATGTGATCGCCACTCTAAAAGGTAATATTTTTACAAAGCTTTTTGGTTGGTGAAATCCATACCAATTGTACACTTAAATCATCTCCAGCCTTTATCTCTACTCTAGCGCGTATTTTACTCTACTCTATAGAAGAATTAAACATTCATCTTCATCTCTTATCTCTACATTTTACTCTACATCAAATATATTATCTTTGTATTTATTTTTTATTTCAAATAAATTTGTATATATATATATATATGGTACCATTTTAATATTAAAAAAATACAAAACAAAATTATAATACATCAATAAATAAAAAGTACAAAATTATTTAGCACATTGCACAAAGTTATTTAGCATAAAAATACATTTACTAATACATATTATACAAAAATTTATCATTAATATTACATTAAAATACATAAAAAAAGAAGGCAAAATGTAGCGCAGGTGCTACAGTATTGCGCAATGTGGTGCAACTCTATCCATCTCTCCCATCTAGTGCAGATATCTGATGCAATGTTGGAGGGTTGTTCTGCGCTATTTTGGCGCAAAGATACATATGTAGCGTAGGGTTGTGGATAGTCTTACTAAAAAGGGTAAAAAAATCCATTATTAAGATGTGTCCATTAGTGGAATAAACAAAAAAAAAAAAAAAAANAAAAAAAAAAAAAAAAAAAGTGTTTATCAAGATTTCGTGATATCTCATCTACATACCAACTGTATATGAATATTAATTTCCCGTCACATCACTATGGCAAGTAGAGGAGTGATTGAAAAGTTCTAATGATTTTTTCATTTCAATTACAATTAGATATTAATGTCCTGTCACATTAGTTGGTGAACATATTAATCCGTGCTCACTGTGGTAAGGAGAGGAGTGACTGAAAAATTCTAATGATTTTTCCATTTCAATTACATTCAATGAATTGCCAAGTAAAAAATAACCCTCTTTTGTATGGAAAGGAAATAGTGTAACAATAACTTAGGTGTATAATGTATAGCCAAATCAATGGTTTGTGCCAAATATTGTTAGTTGAGGCATTAATCCATCTCACTTGGAGTTGAAGTGATATTCACATAGGTTGTGCCTACAAGCCCTAAGACTTTAAAAGTAAATCAGTAATTGAAAAAGATAAATCGTACAGGTGAAAGCAACCTCTTTTGGCAGCCAATACTGCAAAACTTTATGATGCTGAACTCGATTTAAATTGAAGTGTCTTCATTTATCTTCATGGATCTGATTTTTAGATAGATATTTGGACAGATCCCAACTTAATAAACTTCTAATTTCGCATATGAATTATTTGGAAATTTATCAATTTGAATTTGAAAATGGATTAATTATTGAGTTGGTGACTAAAAATAAATTCTATCGATTGATAAGGAACTATCAATTGAAAGCTGTAATAATTTCTATAAATTTGGGGCCCGAAAGATACATCTAAGTCGTCAATATAATAACTATTGATTCGAAGCTTGAAAGATTTGAAATTATAAATGGGTAAAGTCCACTTTTGGTCCTCCATGTTTAGGGGGTATCCAAACTGAGTCCCTATTATGTTTTGGTGCCCAATTTTAGTCCTTAAAACAAAAAAATGAGTCCCCATTATGTTTTGGTGCCCAATTTTAGTCCTTAAAACAAAAAAATGAGTCCCTATTATGTTTTGGTGCCCAATTTTAGTCCTTAAAACAAAAAAATGAGTCCCTATTATGTTTTGGTGCCCAATTTTAGTCCATAAAACAAAAAAATGTAGTCCCTTTACCTCAATTTCTGTGAATTAACGGTCCATTTTTGCTCGACTGTGATGTTCTTTATTTTTGTTAAAATTTGTTGATTAATATCAACTTTGACCAAAGAAAAATAAAAGAAAATTTAAATGCTGAAAATATATTAATAAAAAATTAAACTAAAACAAGAAATTGCACTAAATTAAATTAAAATTTTTGCTCGTCTGATTTCTATTTCCCTAGCATTCGCGCTGCGGAGCAAGCCTGGAATCACAGCTAATGCTCTTGCACCCATTTCCGGGTCATGCCATCGAAAAAAATTGCACCTATCAACCCTCTGTTTTTTAACCATTTCTTATCATATTCCAATTGAAGTTCACGGGAAGTACTTATAGGATATAGAGGGCAACTCAAGAATCTTCTCCCGAGATTATCATCCTTCCAGCATGTAGTCAACTTTGCAACCAGCTCACATCTACAAAATACCACACCATTTTCATCCATTTGATTGGATTTAGTCCCTAGGCGGTTAGGGTTTTTTTTTACGTTTCACTGCAGTTCACTATTTCTGTCTTTTATTTTACTTTTTCAGCATTTAAATTTTCTTTTATTTTTCTTTGGTCAAAGTTGACATTAGTCAACAAATTTTAAAAGAATAAAGAACATAACGGTCGAGCAAAAATGGACCGTTAATTCACATAAATTGAGGTAAATGGACTACATTTTTTTTAAGGACTAAAATTTGGCATCAAAACATAATAGGGATTAAGTCTGGATACCCCTAAACATGGAGGACTAAAAGTGGATTTTTCCTAATTATAGGGACTACATTTTTTTGTTTTAAGGACTAAAATTGGGCACCAAAACATAATAGGGACTCAGTCTGGATACCCCCTAAACATGGAGGACCAAAAGTGGACCTTCCCCATTATAAATTTAAGAATCTAAATATTAACACCCTTAATTCTTTTCATAATGTGGTGACATGGAGTTAAAAAGATGAATATAAAATAATCAAATAAATTAAAACTGAAAAGGAGATGAAAAATATCATCAGAGCTTCGGGGCATAAATACGAATTGCATCCCTTTCACTTTTTTAGATAATATTTATGTATATACATTTTGGTAACCAGCATAGTGTCCAACAATTTGTTGATATTCTTTTTCCATTTTATATTTACAGTTTTTGAACAATTGTATTTAGAGTTTAAAATCGATAATTTTATATATTTTGGTTCTCATAAATATAATTTAAGGCTCCAAATTAAAATTATTTTGGTTCTCATATGTATAATTTAAGGCTCCGAATTAATACTTTACTATTTTTCGAATCTTGAATTGATAGATTTTATCCTTCGTAAATCTGAATCAATAGCTAACTCAACCAACTGAACAAACCGGAAACTCAGCTAAGCCAGGATCTATTGCGATCCAAAAATAAAAAAATTCCTAGTTTTCCATTTCCTTTCATATTTACAGATAACTGACAAGCAGAATCAAAATAATAAACGGATCTTTAGATTTGGCGTCTTTACAAGGTACCTTTAAAATTATTGTATGCAATCATGCAAATAAATAATAATAAACCTACAAATGGAGTTATGGAGGAGGCTCTTCAGTTTAACTTTTGCAATTAATAATTCATTGCTTGTCCATGATTCCTCTCACTTTATCTGTACAAAATAACTTATGCGAAAAGTGACTGTGGTTCCCCGTTTCAGAAAAAAAAAAAGTGACTGTGGTTCCCACTTATAAGGATAATATCATAATAACGAAAATCAACATATCAAATTCCAACTAGTGTTCGACCTGTGCATTTGCACAGATATAAATAAATTATTGTGAGTCTGTATGCATATAATGATTAATTATTTTCTTTCACTTTTTTGCAGATCAAATTTACAATTAAAAGAGTTGGAATATTTTTTTTTTAAATTGCGTTTATCAGATTGAATGTGATGTATATTTTGGTACGTCTTTTATTTGTGAATTAT